AGGATAAGGCTAGCGCGACATGCGGACGTTGGTATGTGTTGGTTAGTCTACAAACGTCGCCTAAAGTAATTGATTTTACCCGGCAGAACGAAAGAAGGAAACTCTGCTTTTCAGTCGTCTTGCCCTTGTTTTTTGACAAACAATGACCTTTCAAAGGTCAAACTGTCAAGAATATGAATTGGCTGCTTTGCAGCAATAAAGTGCTAACCTTTATTTTGATTTAATTTCTAGTCCAGTCTTTTCTTGCTTCTGGCCCAAGTTGATTATGATGTCATCTTTCAGAAGCCTCAATACATATTTTTATTTATGTATTATTATTTTTACAATTAATAATTTTTCCATTTAATTTTACAGTAAATAATCCATTTGCTGGGGTTGGAGCTCCAACACAATCAACCGCGAGTAACCCCTTCTTAGGAATGGGATCTACTGGTCAAATGCCACAGTCAAATGGAATGTATGGTGGCGGAGGGGCTGCTGCAGGGCAGCCAGGCTTTGGACAATTTGGTGCCGGTCAAGCCGGCAGCCAGTTTGGCATGCCCGCCCAATCACAAATGAACGGTAATTTTACGCAAATGCAACAACAGACAATGAGCTTCGGCGGAGTAGGAATGACAGCAATGGCTGCCAACCAGTTTGGTAAGCCACCTCAAAATCCAGGGTTCGGGCAGCAGGCATTTGGTGGAACAGCAGCTGCACCAGTAGCAGCGGGTGGTTTTCAGTCATGGAACAGCCATCCACAACCTGTTGGAGCGTCCGCTAGTAACCCATTCATGGTGAGTGATCATTTGTATGGATGTTTGGTAGTCATGTTGAGATAGAGCATATTTAATAAAATATTTCAATTCAATTCAAATGACATTTTTTCAACAGTGGTATACAATACAAAAATGAAATAAAAAAGAGAAATACACCATCATTGGGATCATGATAGAAGTAAAACTCATGACTCATGACTGAAAGAGAAAACAAATAATTGAAAACAAACTTTTTTTCAAATACATATACCACCTAATCTAGAAAAAAAATCCTCAGAATTTAAAATGACATGAGCTAATAACTTTTAATATGTTGAAAATTGATACGGCATAATTTCAATAATTTTTTAAAATGTTCCTTTAAAAACCACTAATTGTTGGCAAAAAAATGTGTGGAAAGAGTTTCGAAATGCTATATAAATATGTAGATATATTTCAGAATAGTAGACGCTAAAATCGATTAAATTACCCTATGAAACCCCTAAATTGTCATATTTTTTGGGGTCTTCGCCTCCTAGAACACTTTCGAGATATTTTTAGCGACGCCTGACCACGCCCACTTTTTTCATATGGGAAATTGGCTCCCCGTCGGGGAAATACTGACGCCACCACTGTTGATGTATCATTGCGATGAGATATAATGTGATTTTAATTAAAATATAGAAAAATTAGCTTTGTTTGATCATAGTATTTGAAAAGGAACTTTAGGGCAGAAAGGAACTAAATGGTGTATTATGAATGATATTATGAAGTTCTTTCATTATTTGATATTCTTTTTGTACAATAAAAAAAAATTGATGCGGGGCGAGGGGAGCTGCCACAGAAATTGACATTGCTTCAAGAATCTGCATTAATTACCTTGATTTTTGCTCTCTGCTTTCTCCTTGCCTATCATTTACCATTATTTACATATGCGTTGCTATGATTTGATTGTGAATATTATTTTTATTTTATCCAGGGTGGAGGTTTTATGTCACAGTCTGCTGCCCCCAAGCCTCAAGGAAGTTCGAACAATCCATTCCTGTAACATAGCTACCATTACCAAGAATATAGAAGCAAGAACAACTAACAAAATGCCAGACCTTGTTTGCCAATTTATTGCTTAAACATAAGCTCCAAGCTTTTCACCAATGAATGTCATCTACTTTCAAAAAAAGCAATTTTAATTGTAATTAATGAAGAGCAACTAAAAACATTGTACAAGTAGATTTCATTTTAAATGTCATGAACTTGACAAAAATTGGTCTTAAATTCCTAACGCTTCGTCTCACACACAGATCTACAATACAATATTATTCTTTTACATATTATATAATATCTGTATGTATATTAATTCGACTAATGTGTTATTGTTGAGACATGAGCCAACAATTTTTGAATTGATTTTGGCAAATTTGATTGTCTCTTTACTGTGGTATGTAATAAGTCAATTCATGGTTGGAGCTGTGCATGCTCATATCCAAGGTCAAGTAAGGTCAATCAGCATAAGCCTATGTTGTGTGTATGGCATCGATTGACTTTTATATACGAGGATGCGCGTTTCTAACTACGATTTGGATTATTTGGTTCTAAACATGTGATCTGGTGAGGTTAAAGGTCATGAAATTTTTGCATTTTTTGGACTGGCCACAACTTGAAGTGTTTTTATAAATTCTGATCCAATTTTTTCCAAGTCGAATAACAAGATGTGCCAGTTGTCAAAAATAATTGCTCTGAAAATTATTCTGGTATTTTGGTGATCATGTGAAACTAATCGATCATTCTATTTGTAAATAGTTTATATTATATTGCACTCTAAAATATGTATTGTTCAAAATTGCCTCTTTCTAGTTAAATGTAAAAAAGTGTAACAGTTTAAGAAAAAATAACCTGGAAAGAGGAAAATAATCTGTATTACTACTTCCCATAAAAAATCCCAACATATTTGCCGTTCCCAGGACATAGTAACTTTTTAAACGTCCTATCACAATTTTACAAACTAATTACAAAATGTTATAAATAAATGGCAATTACAACAGGAGTCATAAAATATGATAATCCAATATTAATACATTGTGGCATATACACCAAAGGATTCTTTGGATTCAACACCAACTTGCACTCATCACACTCACTCAAGCTGTGGTCTGCCCAACAGATGAGAGATTGGTTATGGTATGTGTCAAACTATTATCTCGCTCTCTACTCTCAACACCACTTTTTAAGACCTGTCCAAAATGCGAAAGTGGCATGGGGTCTTTCATGCTAGCATTTTGTCCCAAGTGGCACTTGTAGTCTGCTTACACCCCAGTGTGACCTCTTTAGTGTGCTTGAATAGACTGTTACTGTACAAGGCTGGCATCTTGTACCAAGTTGCAGCCATCCTCTATCTCAATGGACAGAGTTATTTTATTATATTAAGACATTAGGAAACACTCTAGTAATTTTTGGGCATGTGTTGGTTGAATTGTATTGTGGTTGATTTAGGTTGCTGATTTTTACACTGACCTGTTTAATTGTTCTTCCATTCCCAAAGCTGTAATAGACCTTTCCGGGCAACTGATCGATCAGGACAGGTCCAGGAATATGCGCATATGTTACCAACGCACGCCTTGTCCCACAATAGCATACATTTATGCTTTTGTTTCGTTTGACCTTAGCAACATCATCTAAGGGTGGGGCTTAGCAAGAAGGTGCATTGGGGTCAAGATAAAAGCGACCAATTAAATGTAAATTTAAATGAAAAACATTACATTTATTGATGTTTTCTTCCATTATATGACACCACACTGTATCTGAAGCAAAATACAAACTTCTGTAGTGTTAAAACAAGTAGAGATAACAAGGCTATTGTTTGTTGGAACTATGAAAAAATAATGATGGGGGAATGGTGTATGGATGTAATGCTTAGTCTTCACTATCACATTTTATGTGACATATTTGTGTTATGTGCCCATATATGGGCATGATGATGTCATATAACACCCAATTATATGTAGGAGCATGTGGCGCAGTGCGTAAGGTATTGGACATCCGATCGTGAGATCAGGAGTTCGAGACCGAGGCTCACCGCGCTGCTTGTGTCTTTGGGCAAGACACTTTACTTACCTTTGCCTCTCTTTGCCCAGGAGTATAAGTGGGAGGGTCATGCTGTTAACCTGCTCGTTGATGACCCTGCTACGACTGTTCCAGTCAAATTAATAACAGAAACTAGATTTCAATTCATATCATACGCAAGAAGATGAACCAAAATATATATAAACAAACATATTTTTCTGTCGCATAAAATTTGATGGTGTTGACATAACTTTAGTGTTTAAGACAAATGGAGATATCAAGCCTACTGTGTGCGAGACAGTTGAATCTATGTAAAAATACAGATGGGAATAGGTTATGAATGTAAACATTGAAAAAAAACGATCAAAACAAAGCCAGATTGTCTATTATTTAAAGCTGTACTGTCTGGTTTGTCTACTATCTAAATTCCAACCCTAAAATTTGTATTGTGTATTTATGTATGTAGTTAGCTTCAATTTGAAATTTAGAATAAGAAAGTAAATTCCTTGCCATCATAATAGAAGTAATTAAGGCCCAAAAAAAAAAAAAAAAAATTGTGTTGGCCACGTTTTAGGAAAATACACAAATAATACAACAATTTTGGACTCGCATCGCGTACCATCCATCAAAATAGGCTAGCCTTGGCCTCCTGGCCTTGCCAAAGCTATTCCAGCCTTATTTGCTCATAAAAAATATTGTTTGTTGTCAAAAAAAAAGAAAACTAAAATGCTGACCCCTTAATTTCATAAATTTGGGTCGGTCGGGTGTGGCCAACACAATATTTTTTTTTTTTTGGCCTAATACAGTTCCTTTGTGTAGGCCCTTAGGCATGTGACATGCTTTTGTCAAACAAGATTGATAGTCTGGAAAGGGCTTTATATTAGCTGGTAATCAATTTAAGTGATTTCATAGTAAAACGTCAGCAAAAACTTAATTGCTTTGATCTGTGTCTAGTTGAAAGTAGGTGATTTATTTTTTTTTTAATGCTTTTTAGAGAATTTTCTAGATTTATTCCAGACAGTATAACTTTAAAAATATGTATTAATTGATCGTATGGGTGGAAGGGATCAAAAAATTCAAAGCAAAATTTATTCATTAAAAATGAAATTTGGAAAATGAATAATAATTGAGATTATGAAAAGGGAATGGGATATCAAAAATGACACTGGTTGGGTATGTAATGGCAATGGGATAAAGGATGGCTATAGAAAGGGTATGTGTTATTCTGTTGAATGGCTATGGTTGAATATATGAGGCATGCCATCCAAAAACTAGTGTATTGTCGCTATGTGTGAAACTGAATAATTAGCACATGAATACCGTAAAACCTTGAATTGAAGCCAAATGGGCTTAATCTTGAGATGAAGCCCATCTTGAATTGTAGCCCCCTCTTTAGTTTGCAAAATTAGCCTCGAAAAGAAGCCCATGGGCTTCTTTTCAAGATAGCATAGGCTTCTTTTTGAGATAGTACAGTACATACGCTTTACATGAACTTCAAAAAACAAAATAAATTGAAAACAAGCTTGGTTTATACAGTTGTTTTGGTGGTTTAATGCCAGTTAAATACACAAATATAAATTCACAAAATGTTTTCATTTTGAAAAGAAGCCCCCTCTTGACCTTGCAAAAGGAGCCTCGAAAAGAAGCCTATCCAAAGTTCGGCAGAAAAAAAAACTGAAGAAGCCCAGGGCTACAATTCAAGGTTTTACGGTATGGCAGAATTGTGTATTTTAGTACTGAGAAGCCATACTATTTTTATGCATAATTTTGCCAATAGTAAGTAAATGACCCATCATTTTAAAGCTTGTAATGTGGAGAATATATAAATAAATTGAAAAGTCAATTTTCATTTTTTTGGTCATTGTTGCTGGTTTTGGGATGACATGGCCCATAGGAGGGTAAATGATTCTGCTAAAGTATCATATTCATACTGTACTTCTGTTTTATTTTTATTATTAGGCTACATGTTTTTGTACATAAATGATTTTCTTATGTATATGTTTGTTTGAGAGTTGTTGACATTTTAATCAAAAATGATCCCATAAACTGTATTTATAAATTGATTCCATAAATTAGGTCACTGTGTCTAATGAATTTAAACATTGATTTCTACTGTATCGGATCCATAGACATTAAGTGGCAGTTAAGGTGGGGTGGGGGAGAGGAGAGGGTGGGTCAAGGTTAACAAAAAATAGGTGCATGTGCATCCTTTGCTAAAATTTGCAATTTTGATGGACAATGTTGGGGGGAAAAGGGGAACATGTACACACCCCTTGGTTCATAAATGTATGGTATTTAAGGAAAGTGTTGCTTTCTATGTGCATTGTTTAAACTTTCTGAAATGGTCCACAGCTAAAGGATAGAGATACTCTAGATTAACCTACTGTTAAGTACCTCTATGATTTCCTTCCTGTGAAGTGGCAATAGGGAGCTTGCGATTTGCTTGACACATAACGCTAGAACAAATTTACTTGTGACCGTCCTACGTTCTTTGCACAATATAGATTTGGGCCAAAGTGCGTCCTACAATCCAGGCGACGAGAACATAACATATTCTCGAATTCGCAGGTGACTTCTTAGTAATGCCATTACGTTCTAGGTCCTACACTGTTGTCGTGCAAACGAAAGCTCCATAATGGTAGTCGGTACTGCTGTTGAGTGCTTTGTTTTGATGCATTCTTGCAACTATGTGATGTCATTTCTATCGGTGCTTTTATTGGTTGATTTGACACTTTGTTTTTTTTAATTGGTTAATAATTGTATTTAAGGAAAATCTAACAAAGCACGATATAAAAGTACAGTATCAGTATATCAATTCTGTTATGGTACTTGCGCATTTTACTGATTATTATATTCATGATTGTTGACTTAACATTTTGCTTTAGTGTCAACTGGTTACAACTGGTATTCAGATGAAATTCCAATTCATTTACCGTATTCCAAGTTGTGTTACCTTCACTCAATTTAAATCCTAGATTTTTTCATTTCATCCTAGCCTCCACTCCTGTCACTCTGGCCTCCACTCCTGTCACTTTAGCCTCCACTATTGTCACCCTAGCCTCCACTCCTACAAACCTACTGTAGCCTCCACTCTTGTCACCCTCTAACTTCATCCTGTCTGCACCCACAGCCTAGTGTTAAATTAACCACTTAATTGGAGGTTCCATTTCTTGATTATTCACACAATAAATATGTTAAAATTTACATATTAGATAATACATTAGTTAATTTAAACAAAGTCTCAAGTGTAGTATACAGTATTATTGCATTAAAATATATATAATTTTATAAACTATTTTTGTTGATAAAATTTATCGGTTTTCTCAATTTTATTTGGTTATTATAAAGTCCTGTATCAATTAATTAATAAAACTGCCACATATAAATTGTATCAAGAAACTAACAATAGAATTTAATTGCTAGCTTTAGTTGCTACTGTACTTTAAAATTATATTAGTTTCCCGTTAGAAGAAAACATGTTAAATATATGCTATTACCTAAAGAAACAAAATATTACATCGAAAATAATAACAATTAGAATTGCTTATTTAATGGAGCCACAACTTTCAATAAGTCAGATAAAAAAAGATCAGTTTTTAACTATTTACAGACATTTTACTATGAAAATCTTCAAATTTTTGTTGCCAGTAGGGTACATGTAAAGTAGTAGGGTATATGTGAAATCTATATAAAAATGGCATTATTTAACTCAGTTTTGTCGATCTAATTTTTAATTGAAAGCTAATAACTTAAAAAATATACAATTTATCAATTTAAATTTTATTTGAATTAATTTAAATTCTATCCAATCATCTTCTCTCATCCTACTCCTCCATTCCCTCAGCAATACTGTCAAGGTACAGAAGATCTAAATGTGTTTATTGAACCCAAAACAAATGAAATAAAAAAATTTTTTTCAATTGAAATTTCCTCTTTAGGTAATGACTATTATTACACCATTCTTAAACAAATTCCTAATTCTGATTCTTGTTCTTATCCAATTTATACATACAATAACATCTTATTTGAATTAGGAATTGGTTTAAGACTGGTGTAACAAAAACTACTGCCTTTAATTTAAACTGTTGATCTAAAACACAAGGACGAAAAAATATTGTTGCCTCAAATATTTGACATAGCTTTGTACAGTACTCTTATTATAAATATTGTTTTCCCCTCCCTTCCTAACTCTCATGCTACCCCATACCTTCACAAAGTCTTTGTACTTTTCATGCATCAAAGCTATTGTTTGTGTTATAAGGTCAAGTTGAAATTTCATCATCGTTGCCAATTCTTTGTTTACGTATGTGACTACAATTTAGTCTGGTGATGATAAGTTTAGCTTTTGGTTTTGTTTCTCCCACCGCTCAAGTCTTTCTTTTCTATCATAATTGTTTTTGTTACCATCTGAATATAATATATATAAAGGAAGTTGAGTTCTCACTGTGTAGGCTTAAATATGTGTCTATTGCTAACACAAAGTGTTGTATACATTTTGCCTGTGGTTGAGTCAACTTCACCCTGTACTACCACGGAAGTTTTGTCTGCAATGTGTTGGAAGAGCTATTTTATTTCTGTGGGTTATTACAAATCAGCATAAGAAATTTAAAAAAAATAAATAAAAGTTCATATAGAAATAATAAGTATGGGTATGGCTCTTTTATTTTAAGTGTGAATTTATAAATTCCACAGCAGAGTGTGTAATAACAAAGTGAGCAGAATGAGCTCGGTGGATTTGTTTTGGTCAGCGACGTATATCTTGAAGGCGGGGACGCACGTCCCCCTTTACCTTCCCATTGGAAGTGTTTGAAGCAAAAAACACTACAGTACGCTCAAGTAGAAATCACCCCAGATAACCTTATTTTGCGAGCTAGCAGCCCCCCCCCCTTCAGTTTTTCATGACGCCCCCAACTTCACTTTGCCCTTAAGCAAAGATCTTGTAAACACAAGATTTACGCGTGCAAATTCTGAGGTATATTTGGTATACCAAAACGGACTTCGGTCATGTTCCAACTCCAGAGCTATAATCAGTGGCGGATCCAGTAAACGGAAAACTGATCATAGATTCTTCTCATATAAAATATATGAATTCCCATTGAATGAAAAAAAATCACCATCAAAACACTAATTTCAATATGAATTGAATGAACAATCCTGTCTAGGAATTACACCCGCAAAAAAAAAGAAAAAAAAAATTGGTTCGTGTGGGAATCGAACACACAACCTCCAGGTTTGCTATTCATTATCCATGCCTTAAAAAAAAAAAAAAAAAAATTGGCTCATGTGGGAATCGAACACACAACCTCCAGATTTGCTATCATTATCCACCATCAACTAAACTGCCTTAAAAAAAAATAAAATAAAAATAAAAAAAAAAGCTCGTGTGGTCAGTATGTTCGTATTGACACTGTGTTTTTAGCATTGTTTTAAAGTAATAACCTATCAGACATTTACATGAACAACAAAACGTATGGAAATATATTTGTCTTAACTATTGTTTTCAGCAAAGTGGCGTATCCATATTTTAAAGAATGGGGTGCTGATGTAATGAGAGTCCACATCACGTCAGTACCATCGTGGTTGGCGGTGACACAAAAATTTCAGTATTTTATACCATTGGATGCCCCAAAATGGAACTTACATTACCTATTAAATAATAATGTTTTTGACAAATTGAGTAAAAAAAAAAAAAAAAAAACCCAATTAATTAATTAGATAACCGAAAATGAAATTTAAGTACTTACTATTCTAAAAACTACCATATTTAACTGAGCCCCACTATGGTTGGTGCTCAGGTGAGAACATTTTGAGAAGTTGAGACTCGTTAGATGCACAAAAAAGCACTTGAATAGTACAAAATTTACGATATACACCTGAGCCCCAAAATGGTTTTAGGGCGAAGATGAGTCAATTGCAAGAATTTGAGACTTTATAGATGCCCTAAAACAACACTCGGATACTTAAAATTTATGAAAATTTTGATCCATTTATCTCAGCCCACCATGGTTGAGGCTGAGGTAAAACAATTTTAAGAATTAGAGACTTTTAGATGCAGGAAAATGGCAAATACATAAAAACAACAAAAATTACAAGTGTAGAATAAGGGGAGGAACTAAAACCCAGTATAATAATTAAGATTCCCTCCTTGATTAGTTAGAATTGCCACTGCTTTATAGAAACAGCTTGTGCCTATCTGCTCCGCTTGTTAGATTGCGTGAAATCTGAATAAAAGTATAGATTGAACACCGAGAAACCAGAACTTGTGCTTTATATTTGTGTATAGTCTACAGAGGGACTTGAGAATCGGGTTCAACTATACCACAACACTCCAAACAGACGTAGCGCGGTTATGGAGATCGAACATGACCGAAGCCTGTTTTGGCATACTTTATATACATGAAATTCTGTAATTAACGCATAAAAACGCAAAATTGAAAACTTTTGAACCTTGACCGCTCTGACTATAGCGTACGCCGCGCAACTTTTCGTTTACGCGTAGCAATTAAAAGCGTCCGATTTACAATGCGCCCTCTCTTTAAGCTTTGTCCACACTATCAAATTTTCCTTGACAAAAAACTATTGTATGCCCATATATGGTCATGATGTGCCTATATATGGTCATGATGTGATGTCATCATGACCATATTTGGGCATGTCGCATGTTTTTGTCAAATGAAATTTTATAGTCTGGACAGGGCTTTAGAACATAAGGAACAAATTAACGTACTTAATAACGAACTTTGGCGTAACGCGAACCCCCTATATCAGATCCATGACAACGACTAGGACGCCCTTCCAAAAACTGATTACTTTTCTGTGCCAAATCGACGCTTCCATTTTTTACGCGTAAAATCGCGGATAACGCTATCTTGTGTTTATAAGATATTTGCCATAAGCCACGTCTAGTGGTGACATACATAGGGTCTGGAGATTACAATAATAGTTTCATTGATAAACCTCTGATAAATTAATTGGTTATATAATATATAATAGTACAGTAGAGCCCCTATTAAGGGGACACCTCCGGGACCAAAGAATGTGCCCGCTCTGAATAGAGGTACCCCTATTCTGGGGACACTAACCAAAAACTTAAAATTGTACTCTTAATGGGGGTTTTTGTTATATTTTCGTATAATGATGACATACATTCTTTATAATTCTTTAATTGACATAAGAATGAGTTACAGTTTAATAACTAATTTATAACAATAATTTGCAATGCAAAACATAATTCATTTAAGATATGATGTTAACAGATATGTAGTTAACATTACAAAAATATGTATGTTTTCTATATTGTTTCTAGTGCAGTGTTAATGACCAAATATATATATATTTTTAATATTAAGCTGTCTATTGGATGCAAGATATAATACTTCTAATAGATGTTACCAACTTAAAAATCAGGGTGCAGGCTGACCGGATAGATTATTATCCTATATCAAAATACACACATCTAGAAGTCTGATTAATGGTAAAGGTTGACAAGGTTTTATTTATGCGAAGTAACAACATGCACTAGGCATCCAAGCATCCAATACCTATTCTAATTGTGGAAAAAAGTCTGGTTTTATGTTGAGTTTATTGCTCAAAAGGTGTCAAAATATAAATTTCAATTATTTTTTTTTTCTTATTTTGTGACTACTGTAGTTGTTTTGATACAATAAAGAAAAAAAGTGTCCCCTTATAGGGGTGAAATTGCATTGATTTTACCATTTTGCACACTCAAAAAGTGTCCTCGTCCCTTTCTAAGGAAGGAAGAGTTCAAAGCACAAAATAAAGTTCAGAGAAATTCATTTTTTTCCCTGAAGCTTACCCCCCCCCCCGGGGGGGGGGGGCATAAACGGGCGGGGCACAAAATATTACAGTATAATTAAATCGCCCATCTCACCCGTAAACACCCAGCATGGATTATTCAGTAGTATTAGCATAACATATTACTGATAATTAAATCTCCCGAAAACACCCAGCATGGATTATTCAGTAGTAGGCTATTATTATCTTTCAACTGTATTGTCAACAACCGTTAAATTAAAAAAAATCATAAGGTGATATAATAATAATAATAATAATAATGATGATGATGATGATGATGATGATGATGATGATGATGATGATGATGATGATGATGATGATGATGATGATGATGATGATGATGATGATGATGATGATGATGATGATAATAATAATAATAACAATAACAATAACAATAATAATGATTCTAGAGTTAATTTACAGGCGCAGGGTCCAATTTAAAGATGATGTACTGTATTGTTGACTTGACGCAAAGAGTATAAAACTGCAAGAGGTCCGACTGCCGGGGATTCTTTGGAACGCAATCCTATTTCAAAAGTACTACCTAAAAGGGGCGTGGCCCTTAAAAGAACGTAAAGTGCGTTCATATCGAACGCGTGCTGCGTGTCTAGAATGTATGCTGGAATTCGAAACGCAGCACGCGTTCGATACGAACGCCTTTTACGTTCTTATGAAGGACACACCCCTTCGTGGGAGTACTTTTTTAACGTTCCATTGCCTGTATACAAAATAAGGGCAGTCAGACCTCTTGCAGTTTTATACTCTTTGCTTGACGGTGTAACTTTTACAACTCCAGAGGGCAGTGCTCATTTGAATGAATTTTCGAGCAAGGGGGTTGTCCTAGCTTTGTTTACGTTATTATGTAGTGTTATGTTCTTGATCTAGGTGATTATCACTAATAATAATGCAAATTTTGAATGCTAGAATTTGTTAAGATGATGGAATGGCAGACATTACTTACGGCTCATGCTAGGCCTACATTATTTAATCCATGCCTAGAGGCCTAGCCTAGGCTAGGCCGTGTCTGAATATGAGCTGAGGTAGGGCTTAGCCTAGCTAGGGCCTAGTTAGTGAAGTCAGTGGTGGTCGGTTCTGGTATCACGTAATAATAAAGGCCTAGCCTAGTCGTCTGTTCTAGGGCATTTCTTGCTTTATAAACTGAATTTTTATATTTCTTTTTTGTAGGTAGGCTCGCATTGCTTGACCATGTCATCAAAATCAAACCATCATACTCATCATGATGATGGGAGTGAGGAGTGCAGTTGTCATGACAGCCATGGTGTCTCCCAGTCACTTGGCGAGATGGACTTTGAGCGTGGAATATGGTCTGCTGCACTCTACAATGACTATGAAAGAATCAAGAAACTTTTGAAGAATACACCGGTTGATAAACTTGATGCTACCGGCTACACAGCATTGGTTAGGAACATTTACATAGTACAATCAATAAATAAACTATCGTTAGGTAATAATTATATCTGTATAGTAACAAGTTCTATTTATTTTTCAATAATTGCAAATTGCAATTGACATGTGTCTTGTGGTAGGGGTGTAAAAGTTATAATAATAATTATTTTTATATTATTATTATGAAGTTGTAATTGCTAATTTAGTGGTATTAATTAAGCATCATCATCAGGCCAAATGGTCTTTTGTGGCTAAAGGTCGTGGACCTGTGACATCAGATGGAAGTTCACAAAAGACCAGTTGACCTGATGATGGGTTCTGGAGTGCATGGAAAATATTGTCACACAAGTATGTTCAGTTGAAAAAAATGATTTTATATTTTATAGTATATTTACCTGGATGAATAATAATATTCACAAACATAAATTTGTAGTTATTAATATTTAACCAGTATCTTCAAGTAAATATATAATAATAAATTATAATAGTCATATACTTAGACCCTATGTAAAATATGTACAGTATTTAAATTGTCAATAATATGTACAGTACAATTATAGTAAATATGACTTTTAAAGTATGAATAGAACAATAATTATGAATATTCATTTAATTGACATTAATTTTAAATGTTATTTTTTCAATAAGCTTAAAAAACTTTTCATTTCCGGTAATCAGCACTACTCCAGCCGTTCTGGACATCTAGCAATATGTTGCCTTTTACTTGACAATGGAGCACAGCCAAATGCAAGAACAAGAGCAGGTGGAGTAACTCCACTTCATAGATCGGCATGCTGTGGTCACCTAGATGTTGTCAAGGAATTACTAAAGCGCAATGCAAATCCATTGATTCTTGATGAGGATGGAAAATCTCCTCTTCACAAGGTAAATATGGGGAGCCATAGAAAGTGGACAGTGATGGGCTGGCACCACCCTTATCACATTTGTCATCATCACCACCATCATCAACATTATTTTAATCAACATCATCATCACCCTCATCAACATCATCATCATTGTCACCATTGTTATTCTTTTCTTCTAAATTTATCAGAATTCTTAAATTTTGAAATAAATTTTGTTTTCTTTTGGGCATCTCTGGATCCATCACCTTTTCTACAGATATAAATTGACCTAGAACATTCATACAC